TGGGACGGCATCGAATACCTGTCCGAAGATCTAGACGTAGAAAAATCGCCGAAGCATCGTCGTGTCAATGTCTCACGAAGAGAAACACCTTCTCCACGTCTTAACTCAGTAGTAAACAGTGCTGATTTAGAAACGCCAGTCGAGCTATTCACGCCAGCTTTTGGGTCACCCGTTCCTATACATATTTACAAGAAAGCCGAAGTAAATATTAGCCTGCTGGAACGTATGAATTTTGACCGCAACATTGTAAAGTACAACTGCACAGTGAAGCTCATTGGCGACAATTCCCACAAAAACATCGCAGGATTCATTGTATTAGACACAGTAGTCTTCGAACAACTCACAGCTGATATCATCGAAAACATCAATAACATCACAAACGAGAAAATTCACCAAGAATCGAAAGTAATCCTGAATCATTCTTCTTCTTCCGTCAACGCACTGCGTCCAGTATTCCAAGACTTCACCTGGAAAATATCACCGGATAACATAGTCAACATGGCGGGAGCACACAACGTCATCTTTTTTGTGACCTCGCTCGAAGCTCTCGACTGCAGTGGCGCCGAAATCTCCTGTGCAGGAAAAACATTTCACGGCACCGGTACAAACGCCTTCTCCACAGATCACTACTTCAACATCAAAGTCGACCCGGACTTCCGTTGCGAAAACGACGTGCTCAACGCACTTTCGGAATTCGTTTACGCCTCGAAGGGTTGGATGAAAGCTGAGTTTGCGCCGAGCTATGTGTCTTCTTCTCTTGATGATTTGCGGAGAGCTGCCATCGAGAACTACCACCGGGCGGCAAATCCGTGCATCCACGAAGACGAAGCCGCTGCGCAAGTTTCGGCAATTGACGTCGCTATGCAGCTGTCGCCATTCATGGGAGCTAAAACTTCAACGCGCGACGAAGTAAAAAAGGTGCAGTCCACCGATGGAGGCCTAAAGCTTCACAAAATCTGCAACAGATGCGTCGTTAACATCCTGCCCGACGCAAATTCGTGCATTCGCCGTTGCAATGCAGAAAGCGCTCACAACAAAATCACGTCCATTGGCTTCAGCAACGACGAGATGAGCGTACCTATGAAGAAATACTATTCATTTATGGTCACTTCACCTTTTTCACAATCATCAACTTTGCTCAACCAACCAATCGCATTTATTAAATTAAAAGACGAAGACTGTATCAGAAAAATCACGTGGTGACTTCTACGTCGACCAAATTCACAATCACAGCTCCTAGCCAACGTAGCGCACGCCAAGAAAGAAGAATGGAAAGAAGATACTATTGGCGCATTCACGGCCCCGACGACGAAGTTGTTTGGAGCTTTGTCCAACACTCTCGATCGTTTCGCTAACAAAGGAGCGGGTCTACTCCCGGGTGTCTGCACTCAACTGCTCCACTCGACGCTGATGCTAACGGCATTTTGGCCTGAAGTTGGCCCAGCCATCTCTACAATCCTTTTGTTCACCGAAAACTGCGAACTCAACAACATTTTGCGAGTGTTAGCCACAGTCGCAATCGCTGGAGGTCATCTACCACCGACCTTCCCACAGAAGGTAATAAATTTCTCTCCTTAAGAAAATTCAAACTTAAGCAAAGAGGTAAAAGGCTATGAGTCACCAAGTATTCATCACCTCTTCGCAACAATAAACTCACTATCAAAGCTTAAACCTCGCGTCGACATATCAAATCCCAACCCAACCTAACACACAGATCGTGGTTGGATTAGCCTACAGCATCAAAAAAGACGCTGTCCGCAACGAAAACTATATGCGTTGGGTCAAACAGTTCAAACACATTGCTGAACCGCTGTTCGTCGCCAAATGTTGGTCCAACGGTGCGATTGATGTCATTCGCTCTTCGTTCGCAAACTCCGACGGCGTTCGCCCGGTGGCTCGCGACAGCGATGCAGCAGTTTTGAGGGAATTCACTTCGTTTGTGGGGCGCCTGCAGAACATGGGCGCTGTCTTATGCACGGGACGCAATCCTTTCTGTTCGAATCCAAGGCACAAAGAGATCGGCACCACCGTCGAAGAGTCGGGAAGCAGCCAGAACAGCGGAAGTTAGAGGAAACAATATGAAAAAACAAGAAAAGTTCACAATTCGGGGGAGTGTCAAGGACTAGGGACATGTCCGAACTCATCTCGACCGAGTCGAGCATTCACATTACATGGTTGAAAAAAGGACTAGTCTTCTGCAAACTAATGGACGCAGACACTTCATAAAGACATACCAAAGCATGTCGAGTAGTTTTGCGCGTATCACACCTATGTTGTTCAAAACAGGTTCATTTTGCAGCGTTAAAAAGTCAGCAAGATCTCAGTCAGAAATATTTAGCAAGAACAATTCAACTCATAAATTCAACAATCATCTTCACAACAAAACTCACACACAGGGGCAGTTTAAAATGTGGTCGTCAACAGATTTCGTTCCAAAAGCTAGTCCTCAGCTAAACTCAACAAGTGTTCAAAGAGCAGCAAATCAGATTGCTAATGATAGTGTCACACCATCCAGTTCGAGACATCTTCATTCTCCGATTACAGCTGACAAGTTGCTAAACAATAAAGTAACTCTTCAAGAACACAACGAATTCTTCGAAGGAAATCTCATCACTGGACCATCTTCATCCCCAGTTTCAAAACGGCAAGACTTTGACTCCTTCGTACTTAAGCTACACAACGAACCCACATCGAAAATGCCGGATGATCCGAATGGGCCGTTTGTTCCGTTGGTTAACTACATTTGTAGTTCCTGCGATTCCACAAAGCCATATGGCGACATGGAATTTGTGTGCGGACAAAAGACTGGATCTGGTGAAGTCGCCACTGGCTGTCAAAAAGGAGTTTGCAAAACATGCAAGATTTCTGGTGGAACGGTGTCGGAGTCGTTGTTTCACAAGGTAGACACGCACAATCCGAAAAGGTGCATTTGTATTCGTTGCAACAATGCACTTCACATCAGTCGCATGAATGTTATCACCGCAGCAGTGACGGCAAATTCGGGTGGCATCAAGTTGACGCCGAAAATTGTCGCCAAGTACCCATGGTACAGCGACTACGTCGCACTCGAAGAGAAGGAGAAATTGGTGGCCTACAACATCCTAAAGCGCCCTCCTCTCAACGAGCGCCGGAACATGGACAAAGTGTCCACCTCGGTATTTCCTTGTTCGCTACGGTAAAGCATCGCTCATCCAGCAAACGCGCATGTTAATAATTCCACCTTCACGATCGCCAGACCACAAATCAAATTCATAACTCTCAAACACATCTTTGGAATTCTACATATATTCACAATTTACAGGACATCCTGCTGCTGAACACGAGTTTCGCGACAGACAGTGCGGGTTTGGGTAAAGCGACGGATCAGATTCGTTTGAAGCAGAATGAGCATTTCACATGGAAAGCGTTACTCCTCCCTCAGCACGGTGGTTCTATGTTAAAAGCGAAACAGCACCTCGACAAGATCATTGCCTTATTCCCGAACGAACCGGTGGCAATTATGGCAAACTACGCCTTATTTCCGATCGAGCTGCATTTGGATGTTCAAACACTAATGATGGCAAAATCTGGTGGGGGCTCCTACAAAAAAGAGCAAGCTCACACGAACCCAACCAACGTCTGCTGGCTTTTGTACTTCGTGCTAAAAAAGTGGGGAAGGCAGTTGAAGATGAAAATGCGCATCGACGACGTGCGCATGGGTTTCTACAATTTGGTGTACCTTCCCGGTTTCACTCAAGCGGCGATTTCTAACATGTCGTCCCGCAATGTCCTCAAGGTAGCAGTCGTCATTTTCACTACCTCACAGTGAACAATTTCAAACAAATTCAGCTCAAGTTTCAGCACCAACTTCAAATCCTCATCAGTAAATCAGTTCTCAATCATCTCACTCACGCATCAGTGATCTTTCTCAAATAATCCTTCTCACCTACAGTCGCTGGTTGCAGAAATTCCAGAACACGAAATCAAGCAGCTCCAGGATAAAAACGCCAATAAACGTGGCCGAAACGCGAGCACTGATGGTGGCGGAAATGGCGGCGACAGTGGTTTTGACGCCAAGCGCGGCCGCATTGGCAACAACGACGACAAGGAAACTCCGATGACTTCTGACAAACGCATCGCTGATGCTATTGAACGCGCCCCATTGACGGTAGTTCATGTTTAAGTTCGGACATTTCGCATCACAATCGTGCTTCAGATCAAGACTAGACAAGATCAACTCAAAGTCGTGTTTCACACAGAATCCTCACCCTCGCAAACCTCAGTAACTGCTATTCATCTCTCACAGCCGGCCGGAGCGGCAGCTGCACAGAAGAAGTGTTTGGATCTCACCCCGCAAGCATACTATAAATATTTCACTGATCGCAAGACCGCTTGCCGCAACTGCTGGTTAGCCGGAAAGGGATTGGTGGCAGAGCATTCGTTTGGATTCAACTTTTGCGAAAACGCTGGAAACAGTTGCTATCTCGAGTGTCGTCCATGCAAGGAACGCAACATCACGGTGTGCCACTGGTTGAGCAAGTGCCCGCACAAGGAGGAGTACATCAAGAAATTGGAGCAGAAAGGTGCGGGAAAGAAAGGTCGCCGCAGTAGTGGCAAATAAGGCGGCATCCACGTCACCCGATGCACCGAGCGCTTGCTTTATAAAACAGTAACCGTGGCAACTCGAACAGGTTGCACCAAGAGAATTCATTCATCCTTATCAGCACTACCCACATCTCGTCAAACGAATAGCATATCAAAACTTCAAGAAGTCAAAACATCCCAACTAACTTCACCTTGTCAAATAATACTTCAGGAGCAATCGGAATTTCGCAATACTGTACACAATAACATTTCCCAACCCCGATCTACAGCAATGCTTTGAGTCAAAACATTTCATGCACATGAACGAAGCCAACGTTCTCACCAAATATTCACTCCACCAAACGTGGAGTCTTCTGCGACTCTCACATCTAGCAGGGACCATGTGGTCCTTTACGACGCGTTTTCACGAGCGTGAGAGAAGTCGACGAATAGTGCCGAGAGAATCTGTTGTGCAAGTACTCTTCATCGTTATCGATTTGCATTCTGTTTTTTAGGCGCTGTAGGAAGCCTCCAGTGATTATTTGTCCTTTTCGTTCAAGTATCTCAAGATGAGTTTATTCGAGTTAAATAAAATTCTCAAGTCAAAAGATGTGGTGGTAGCTACTCGATCTTCTAGCGCCACCCTGCGCCACGTCGATGAACTTAGACGTGAGGTCACAAAATCCGGCGGCGCCAGGAAACGTAGCGCTGACGAAGCCGGCATGGAGCATGGTGTGGCTTCTGAACACGACCTTTTTGAGTTCGAAAATAGCGTCGACAACAAGAATCTAGGCCTGGGTGTGCCTGATGCCTCTTTTGGAGAGTGTGACGATGTCAGGGCAGTAGCAGCTTCTCCAACCAGTTCGAGTAGTGCATTCGTGTCCGCCGTTTCCTCAGCGGCACCCAGTCCACATTGGCGACCGATTTCACTTGTCAACGAAGTCTCGTCAACTGACGTCATCGGTGAAGAAGAAGTAGTACTCTCACCAGGCAAGATTGCCGAACTTCACTCCGAAGCAAAAAAGAATCTCACTTCTGCAACACATCACGGGGCTCAAGAGACCCGGGACATGCTTAGCGGTTCAGCTGATCTCTCAAAATACAAGAAGTTCAACAACAAGAACGACATCGACCTCAAAATCTTCGCTGCAGCTTCTGACGTCGTCTACGATTTCCCGTTCGAGGACCCTCAACTACAGGAATTGATGGCGAAGGCAGCAGCAACGCACTCAGAAGCGTCGATCAAGAAGAACTCGGCCGCGGTCTATCAATCAGTTTTGAACACTGTTGTTCCCATTGTTTGCGCGATTCTCGGCATCGTTTTGTGGCCACTCACTTCCGACAGCGAAGCAGTCATCTTCTTCACTGTTTTCACTCACAGCTATGCAGCACACAAGTCCTTCACGGTCAAGAACAAGAAGACGGTCGCTCCGCACGCGATCCGATGGAATACATACGCGCTAATTAGCGCAGCGGTTGGTTGTTATAACGCATCGCACAATATTTCATATTCCCTCGCGAATAAATCTGGTGCGCTCGCACGTGCTTGGCAGGGTTATAAGGCTCTCGCACATCACAACCCGTTATGCAAGAAGTTTGTGCCTTCATTCGACAATGTTTATGACTGCATTGTCACCGCCACAAACAATTTCAACAGGCTCCTTCGTGGAGCAAATCAGGATATGAGTATTGTCAGTTTCACGCATATGCTTTTTGAGCAGAAACCATTTCTCCAAGCGTGTATAAGGCTGCAATGGGCCATGATGGTAATGTTGGGATATTTCCTTGTTCGCCGCAACGACGAATTGCGCGCTTTGGTGGCGGGCAACTTAAAACGTGTGGGCACGCACTTCTCGATTCACATCGAAAGTGCGAAGAACGATAAACATGGTATGGGTCACGCTGCAGCTATTCCTTCGCAGTTCGAAATTGTCTGCAAAGCGTGGCATCGTTTCGCAACGAATTTCTTCCGCTGGCTTGGGAAGGGCGCATGGTCTGGAACCGCGCCCATGTTTTTCCCCATCGGTGTCACTAATATCGCTTCCCGCGGGAATCCTGCTGGAAAGGACTTCGTGAGGAAAGCCGTTTCCGAAGCGTTAGGGGGTTTCAAACCCAGCGACGCCTATGGGTCGATCTCGCTGCGAAAAGGAGGCACAAGATTTTTTACGATGACCGACAACTCGCGTCGTTTAGCCTTTTTCCAAGGCGGTTGGAAGTCGAACAACATGATTGACGATGTTTACGCTCCACCATCCATAGATGTCCTTGCTCCGCAGGTTTCGTCCTGTGTTCAACAGTATATCAACAAGCGACACACGCGCAACAAAATGAAATTAGTTGAAAACGAGTTCAAGAACCAAAATCGCAAAGACAGCGTCAAACTGGCTTCATTAATCAGTGATTTGGTTAGCGACAAGTTCACTGTCGACGAAATTCGCGTTTTTGCTCCGTTGATCACCGCGCATGTCCTTTCCTCAAACAAGGATAGAGGGGTGTATGGGCTGTTGCACGACAAATTGATTAAAAAAGATGGTTAAATACGACGAGTCCTCGTTGGGACTACATCCTCACAGTTCGTTCACAACAAATGATTACACATCGAAGGGCCTTCCCATCACACACGATGAAATTTTTCCATACTTAAACTCTCTCGATGGACCCAGGGACTTCTGGCGCGTCCAGGAAGACCAGGCCACCGTTGAAGGGTTATCACTTTCCATAGAGCAATGTATCAGGTGGGGCATTAGCCCAGAATTCATTCAACGTTGGTTCGGTGGTTTGCATTTCAATATTGTTAACGACGATTTCAAGATTACACAGACAGAAAATTACTCTTCCACAGTTGAACATGAAAAAATTTTCGTTGATGAAGTTGCTAGACTTTGGTCCATGGGTAAAGTTTTTTACTACAACAATTCGACTCACTCACCACCTGATGACCTCATGGTCGCCCCCGCGTCGATTCTTCTTCAGCAAGGGGGGGCAAAGATTCGTCTCATTTCTGACTGGAGCGCTGAAAACTGCCTCCTCAATCAATCACTTTTTTCAACCCCGGTGGATTACAGCTCGTGGTGGGATTTACTCGAGCACATTCACCCAGGGGCTTTTGTTTCTGGCATAGATTTTGCAGATTGTTTCCCTCATTGGATGATTTGCCCTTCACAGCGCAGGTTTTTTGGTCTCGATCTTCCTTCTGTTGATAAAAAAGCAACACACTTGTTTTTACCTTTCGGTATTGCACCCGCACCGGGTGAAAATGGCCAGTCTGTTAAAGAGATCATCCGTGTCGCTAAACGCTCGGGGGTGCAGTCACTACTTTTTGATTATGTAGATGACATACGTGCAGTACTTCCGCCACCACTTTGTTTCTCGAAAGAAGCTACTGATCTTGACCTGGACAGGCAAGTCTACTTGTTTACGGTGCTTGGATGTAAAGTTCACCATAAAAAAGGGAAACTTATTCCAGCCTCAACCGCGTTTCCATGGCTAGGCTTTGAAGCCGACACTATCAATATGAAAATGAGAATTGAAGAACGACGTCGCACCGAGTACATCAAAGACATCACATCTTTTCTGGACGAACTCAACGAAAACAACTTCTCATGTAAAATCAAGCGTCTCGCGACCATAAAAGGCAGATGCGGGTCGTGTATGTTTGTTGTTAATAGAGGTCCTACCTTTCACATGCAAAAGGCGATCGTTGACTCCGGCGCTGCAAAGCGCTGGCAGTCCGACAGGAGATTTAACCCTTCTGTCACAGTCTCTTCAGACTTGTTACGGGAAGTCAAATGGTGGCTGAACACGCTGGTCAGCAATCCTGCCGCCCCAATTTTCTACAACGGCAGGCGCGCCTTTTTGTGGAGAGATGAAATTCTTGGTTTCGGTGAGCAATTCATTCGCACGATTGATAGGGATCAACTTCTGGTTGTCCACGGCGACGCTGCGGGCGGTGACAACGGTGGTTGGGGCGGCTCGGTCAACGGTAATCACTACCAGGGCCGATTCTGCGAGCCTTGGTCAAAATTTTCGATTAACGCCAAGGAGTCAATTACTCCCATCCTCATCCTTCGCGAATACGCAAAGCAGTTCGGCAGCGGCGCTGTCAACAGCAAGATCATCATGTATTACACCGATAATCCTTCCGCAAAGAAAGCCTGCAATAAGGGCTCATTCACATCTGGCGAAATGTCCGACGCTTCTTTCTTCATCAGGGATTTCTTCTTTGAGTTTGGTGCCGAATTGGTTGCTGGTAAGATCTTCGGCGATGAAAATCCAGTAGCCGACGCCTTCTCTAGGTTCGAAGAATGTGTGCACACTATGGTCGATCCACATCCCAATCGCTACTTAGCCAAGAGATTCATGAATCAGGTGCTCAAGCTCTTGCCGGGTCTCGACACAACCGCCTGCTCGGCGCTTGATGGACTGAGCAACGAATCTGACCTCACTCACACCTTCAACATGCTTGATCAGCCTTTTCTTCACGCTGAGCATCTTCTCGACCACAAGGTATGGTGGTTCCCTCCGTTCGAATTCCTGTTTCCAACGTTAAATTTCTTGATCAAATTCGTCACCAATGTGCCCTACGCGCAGCGTCCGCGATTTGCTGTTATTGTGCCGTGGCTCGACGGCAAATTCGCAGATCTTTGTAGCAAGTTCAAGAAGATAATGAAGTTCAAGATGGGTTCATGCATTTTCAAGTCGTCATCCAACGACGAGTCCTTTGCGGCAGAATGTGACTTCACTGTTTTCGCATCTGTTTCCGCTGATGTTTGGAGTGATCCGCACATCCCGCCGTTGTCGCTTCTACCGCAGATGGCGAAACTACTACGCACTTCGCGATTCCGGACCGCTACGTCATTGAAGTCCAGGGTCAAAATTGGTGACGTCGCACTCGCATCTGAAGAGGTAATAATCCACGTCTGCTGCACCATACCTGTAGTACCGCAGGGCGTAGCCGCATCTGTGTTTCGTGCTCATCCGTACGCATCTAAGTACTCCCTTCCACCGTCCGAGAAACCCTTTGGGGACTTCGAGCACATCGGGAAGGTCATATACATCTACTCCATGGCGCAACCAGGACCTCCTTCCTTTAAGTCCGCGCAGTTCTTCAACGACACGGCTTCTTCCCGCCTCGATATTTTCACCATGTGCATGGACAGAATTCCGTTGCATCTCTGTCGTGCTGCCGTGTCCTCTGTCGCTCTTCCCATTGACATTGGGATCGGTCGTTGTGGTGGTAAGTCCGTCGAGTATGCAAGAGTCCTTGATGATTTCTGTCGCTCGTGTGACAAACTGAACATTCGCGTTCAATTTTATCATTTGCCACACAAACGCTAAAGACCTTACTCTGCCTATCATGGCTTTCTCGTGCTGCAATCGGTAAACCGTTTCGCGCTCGGGGCTTGTGAGCTAGT